CCCCTCCTCAACGTCTTTCGTCCCGAAAGATCGAGGTCGTCGTTTCAAATAGCGCCAACTACCCTAACTTCCTTGTTTCTCCTGTAAGTGCTTTCCCTCCGTCTACCACTACTCCTCGTTATAGCTAACACGCCTGGTAGGCCCCGCCGAAACCGCGCAATCGAGCGCTATACCGCTGCTTCCGCTATTGAGCGCGACGGTCAGGAGGTCGATATACCCTGCGAACGTTATTGGAACGCAAAGCCCCGGAGACGCTGTATGATAGTACCTGGCTCGAACAAGTGCTTGGGTTGTATTTGTCTAGGCAAGAAGTACAGTAGTCCGAACGTCGTAAGCGCTTATAAGTCCTGTTCGTCTTCCTATAGATTAGGCTAATCCCTAGTAGTAATAGCGAATATATCGGCCTACGACAAAGTAGATAAGGAAATTATAGATGCTAAACGGTAGCTATCCGAGGCGTTGAGCTATCTCTTACGTCTTCGTCGTTAGCGCGAGGTGCTGGGTAATACCGGCTCCGAGCTACTGAGCTATAGTCTGGATAGTTTAGAGGAGGACGAGTCTAACTCCCCTATACCAATGTCGGAGGAGTAATCCCTAGTTGGCTGGGCGTAGTCCCTAGGTGCTTTTGGTATCGTCGACTAGGAGGCCACTAGTACAGTCCCTTTCGGTAGCCTAGACTAGCTGACTGCCCCTGATGCTACTCAAAGGTTCGTTCCCCTACCTCCTTTCTCAACAAACGAAATGGTTGCGTAGCGCAGTGGTCAGTGTATATACCTACCGTTCTGCTTCACCTCAGGATAGGATCCTAGGGTAGGGCAAGGCTTGTGTGAGGTCGTGGGTTCGAATCCTATTGCGACCTTGTTTCTATATAGATAGTAATCCTATAGAATACGATCTATATAGGAATGTTTTGCTATTCCCTTGTGTATTGAGTACTGACTTGTTATTTGTTTAGTACTTCTTAGAGTAGTCCTTCTAGTACAAATGCCTTGTCTTCGGCTCTTCCCTTGGTCGATCTAGGTTCTAGCGGTAGAAGTTCGTAACCTTCTTAGGGCAGTGGAGGTTCTTAGCTAGTTCCTATAAGTTTTTAGTCGAGTCGAAATCCAACTATTTGACTAGATACTCTAGTCGTTTTTTATTGATATATAAATCGAGGATTTCCTTAACGTCCTATTCCTCTTCCTTGTCCTGGGCCTTAGTATTGGTTGCAAGCCTAGCGTTCTTAGGTACTAGTTCGAGGAGTACGATGTAAAAGACGTTGGTCCTGACTTTCATCGTTGCTAGTAGCGTGATCCAGTAGTTGTTTTCCGAGATCCGCTCTTCGATCTTGAACAGTCTGATTTTCTTGAAGTCGAGCTTCCTGCTTAGTCAGTTTGTTCGAAGATTCTATGAATTGAGGTAGACCTTATCTCCCCTCTCTAGGCGAGGACTCTCGAACCTGTTTTTGTTATAGTACTCCTTTATCCTGCCTCTAACGAATTCGAGTTCGTCCCTAAGCATTACGTGAAGCGTATATATCTAGTCGGCCTTGACTATTGCCCTAGGGACCGAGACCTCAGGTCCCTAGCGTAAATCTACCTTGTATCCAAAGTTCGCGAAGAACAGTAAGACCTTTATAGTTTCTATAGGTACTATGTTGTATATAAGCTACGCTATAGGTAGAAGTATAACCTAATCGTCTTGCTAGTAGTTGATATAAAACCAGAGGTATTGTTCTATAATCTAGTTAAGTCGTTCCATCTATCCGTCTATTTGCAGATGATAAGCTGTCGAGAGCTTGCTCTTCGTTCCTAGGCGCTTTATAAATGCCTGCTAGAACTTTGATACGAACTTGGTATCTCTGTCTATAATCTATTCCTCAGGCTATATATAGACTGAAGCAATATATCGGTAAATCACATCTATAAGTTGTTCTGCTGACCACAATTCCTTGTACAGGAAGAAATAGCTCCACTTAGTAAGTCGATCAACTATAGTAAGGATACTGTCGTAGGTCGTTCCTATTATTATGTCCTTCGATAGTAGTAGTTTGGTAATGAAGTCTATTGTCACCGAACTCTATAGTCGTACTACAACCGGCAGTGGTTGAAGGAGTCTATAGGGCTTATACCTATCTGGCTTGCTCCAACGGCATAAGTCGTATACCGCAAGCACTTCCTCAACCTTCTTTCTAAGTCCTGGGAAATCGTAGTGTTGCTTGATCCGGGCAACTGTTTTAGCGATTCCTATATATCCTCCGAGTCTTAACTCATAGATGTCCCTAATAAGTACCTCCTAGGCAGTCTCATCGATATAGATCTTACCATTGGGCGTTAGCCTGCCTAGCGTTAGCTCCTGTTTTTCCCTGAAGATTATATAGCACTCTTCGAAGTACTAGAGGGGATGTCTCAAGGAACTACCCTCCAGGGCTTGAAACAGTGGTGGCGAGACTTTAGTAGTATTGCTGAAATGATCCTATCTCCTACTCAAGGCATCTACTTGTATGTTTTCTATACCTTTCTTATAGTAGATAATAAAATTGAACTGCGATAGGAACTCTACCTATTGCGTCTATCGTCCATTGAGTTCCTTTGTCGTAGTGAAGTACCGGAGGTTCTTATAGTCTATATAGACCTGAACCTTATATATCGTACCGCTGAGGTAGGGCTTCTATTCTTCGAAGGCCTTAATAATTACTATCAACTCCTTGTCGTAGACCGGGTAGTTGAGCTATAGTCCTAAGATCTTTTATAAGAAGAATACAACGGGGTGAAGCTTGCTATTATCGTCCTATTGTCCGAGTTGCCTATTAACCGTATAGTTAGATACATCGGTCTTAACCTCGAATGGCTTCCTAGGGTCTAGTAGTATAAGCACTGGGTTAGCGACGATCAGCTCGTAGATCCATTGAAATACCTACTTGTACTCCTTTCCCTATTGGAACTCGATGTCTTTCTTCGTCAAATCGTATAGAGGTCGTACAATATCGCTAAAGTTCTTGATAAATATCCAATAGAAGTTGGCAAATCCAATAAATCCTTAGACCTCTATTGTCGTCTTAGGCGTAGGCTATATTCTGATAGCCTCGACTTTGATTAGTTCTATCCGAATCTATCCTAGTGTAATCTTATAGCCTAGGAAGACTGTTTTTGTAATATAGAACTCACTCTTGTCCTTATTGACTAAGAGTTTCTATATATAGAGTACGTCTAGCATTTGCCTTATATACTTCCTATATTCTTCGAGCGTCTTGGAGAAGATAAGGATATTATCTAGGTAGTAGACTACAAATCGGTCTAAGAATAGATAGATCGTATAATCGACGATAGCTTGAAATGTTACAGGTGCGTTCGTTAGGCCGAAGGGCATCACCTGATACTCGAAGTAGCTATAACGGATATGAAACACTATCTTCCATTCGTCTCCCTTCTTAATACGAATATAGGCGTATACTATCGGAAGATCGAGATAGGTAAAGTATTATACTCCTGCCAACTAGTTATAGAGTTATATAATCAGGGGCAAGGGGTACTAGTTCTTTACTATCTAATTATTCAGCTATCGGTAGTCTATATATATCCTGAGCTTTCTATCCTTCTTTAGAACGAAGAGGACTGGATAGCCTATAGGTAATATCGATAGTCTGATATACTCTATCTTGAGGTTAGCCTTAAGATATCTCTTCAGCTCTCTATCCTGAAGTTCATTAGTATAGTATACCTTGAAGAACTTTAACTAGACGCCTTCCTTGAGTTTAATCTTATGATCCCAAGGTCTATGATCTAGCAACCCCTCTATATGTTTTGCTTCGAACGCCAGGTATCCCTAGTATTCTACTAGAATCTTACCTGTTTCGTCGTTCTTCGCTATACCCTCGTAGTATATGAATTTGCCGCTGGCCGTGACTTCGGCTACTTCGGCCTACTATACCTACTCCTAGAACTAAGTATTGCTATAGTTATCGATTGAGATAACAGCGACCTCCTTGGTAGCCCGTCTCAGTATACCCCCTAGAGTCTGCCATTGGCTCCGATCTAGGTTCGTTTCATTCAACCCTTTGTGACTACTGCTTCTTCCTAAGTATGTAGCAGGTCGTCCGCTACTGTCCGCCTCTTGCGGTAGATCCTAGAAGTATATATATTTCGTCGTACTACCTTTTTATAATCCTTCGTCTACACCTCCCATTATATTAGTCGGATACAGTCCCGGTTCTAGTCGGGGCTATAGGTAGCTACCTCCCTTCCAACTAATGTCTAGGTCGTAATCCTCGTACTAGGGGAATCCTAAGATTATATCCTTGTCGGTCCCTATATCTACGATGTCGAAAATAACTTTTATAGTCTTTCCTTCGACAGTGATATCGAGTGGCTTAGTTTCGTGTTAAGCCTACTGTATTTCGAATAGTCCCTTGACCATATATACGATATCTTTCATCCTCTATAAAACCTAGAGTTGGTTGACGAATCTTAGTGAGATGAGGTTAAGTTCTGACCCTCTATCTACCAAAGCCAATACCTAGTATTGCTTCTAGTATACCGAGATCCAGAGTCTTCTATCGGCCCTGGTGCCCGATACAGCAGCGATTTCTACTTCGCTTGCCGGGAGATCGTTATAGCCCTTCTGTTTCGCCCAGTTCTTCCTACACTAGCAGGCTTATCGTTATTGTAAGGGTGTTAGAGGTCGTCGGGCCCCTTGGAGGGCCTGGAGCTGTTTCCCAAGCGCTGTTAAGTACTATAAACCGCGTCGTTCAATCGCTAATAGTCCACCTGCTCCTATAGGAGGTTGTGAAAGGCGTCCCCTTCTATTCCCTAGCTTACTTCTACAATAGTGCCAAACTCTTGCAACTATTGCTTACTGCTCTATGCTAACTGGTCCTCGTCCTCGTCCAGGACTAGGTCTGAGTTACGTCCTTTCCTCTTCCGGTATACTAAGCCTCGAGAGTAGCGCTCCCTTGTCTCCACCTATTTACGCTAGTGCTCCCTGCTTTTAGCTTGAAGGTACTAGATATAATCTACGTTGCTATAGTGGTCAATGCTATTGTCTTGTACATAGGTATACAGCGATAGCTATACTTGTCGTAGTCGTATATAGACCTTGCCGTCCTCCGGGTACTCAAAGTACTAGAGTAGGTCGGATGCTCCCTGCCCCTAATCGAATGTCCACTTGATCGGTCTAGGCAGTCCGTTGGGCATAGTATCGCGGATAGGCTAGTAGTTGTAGTTGTATTTCTCCTTGAAGTAGTACTTACAGGCGTATGTGACGTACTGGAACCATAGTACCTGCTTATAGTCTACCCGCTCGGGGTATAGCCTTCGCGATTCCGATTCATCGACCTATTAGAACCTTCCCTCGTAGTTAGGTTCCTTTATATCGCTATTGTTCTTCCTAAGGCTAATATAGGCTCTAGTCTTCTAGAACTCCTTCTAGCTCTAGGGTTCAGCGTTCTTGAAGTACTATCGCCTGGCCTAATCGTAGTATTCCTATTTAAGGTTCCAGACCTCAGTAGGGTAGTAGTCCTCGGCGCTCTAGTCGTAAGGTCCGCTCTATCTAATATCTCTTCGATCGGAAGAGTTATTGACCTGGAAGATCTCCTCGCGGAGTGTATCTACTTACTGGATCGCCTCGTTAAGCCTTCCTTCGACTATCTATCCTTTAGTAACTAGCTTAAAAATCTCGGTCTGAAGTTAGTTGTTCTACTCTTTAAGCTCTTGGACTTACTACTAGAGGTGAACTAGGTCAGGGCCTTCTGCCAAGTCCCTTTCGTCTATAGTCCTCTATTACCTATTGCTGTCCTAGACTAGTTATAGTCCTTATATAGTAGCAATCTATTCGACGTACTACTAGGCTATTAGTACTATTGACTCTGGTTAGTCTTCTTCG